CCAGCGCCGCGGCCAGGCCGGACAGCGCCAGCGTGCGCAGCCTCGGCAGGCTGCTGGCCGAGCCAGTGTCGACTGCCCGGTTCATTTGACCGGCAGTCCGGTCCAGACTGGTTCAGACCGGCTGGACCGTTTCAGCCCTATTTTAAATCAGATCGGTTCTTATGGTTAAGGTTTCAGCCCGGTTCATGATCTTAATGATATTTTCAGATTAAATTTCCGAGATTATTTCAGTTCAGTAAATTCATGTCCAACCAGTTCATGTTAAGTTCAGTTCCGGTTATTCCGGTTAAGTCTAAATATCATGTTAAGTTCAGTAGAGCATCTTAACGAAATTTATCAGTTAAGTTAACAGTCTGAGCATAGTCATTAGTAATTGTTTATATTATTTTCAGTTTGATCAGGCATCAGCACTACCGTTCAGTTCAGCAGTTCAGGTGGGGACTCAGACTAAGTACTACATTGATTATAATTACGGTACCATGTTTGAGGTATGTATTTCAGTTGAGGTATCCGCTCGGAATGGTCGCCGGTCCATTCTGGGTTCTAGTGGCCCTAGTATGCCCACTAGAGTGTGCACATGGTGTCCGGCTTTGCCGGCAGATGAGGTAACGGTCAGGGTCACGTTTGCGTGATGATTTCAGATTCATGTTCATGTTATTACCGGCTTGAGGTTGAGGTTGAGGTTATGTATATAGTGATATCATGATGTTGTTATTATTTTCAATGTTTACATTAGTATGAGTTTCCACGGAGCACAGTGCCATAGTGCTCATTTCCCACTTTTATCATGTTTTTCAGGTCAGGATGTCGGTAGGGAGCGTGACGTGACGGAGGCTTCAGGACATTCATGTTTTTGACTGTATATGTATATGATGATTTACGCTTCCGCTAACGATATTTTGATTGACTTTTGATGTACTTATATTTTGACGAACTTTTGGGAAACTTTATGCTTTCAGTAACCGGATGATTTTCTTAAAAATTAAAAATAACGGTTTTCCAAATTAAGTCACGATTTAAAGGTAGCACCCCGAATCAGTTTTCGCAAAGTAAAAAGGCTTTATTTTTAAATAACTTTGCGAAATTTCCGCACTCTGATTTTACAATAAGGAGGGGTGTTACAAATGGTATCAGAGTACGTTTCTGCGTCTCTGAAAAGTTTTTCAGTCAGTAATTTTTCAGAAAAACCTGAACCGTCATGCTCACGCCCCGCCGACGACAGGTAAGTGCTGATTCAGTTTTTCAGTTATAACATATTACTTTGTCTATGCTCAGAATTAAGGATCAGGACTTTAGTTAAGATGCTCGAATCAGGTTCAGACTTTAGAGTTCGGACATGACTCTAGAATTCAGGCATTCAGATATGACTCTAGACATTAAGATTTTTCTATATGACTCTAGAGTTTTTCATGATTCATGTCAGTATTTATCGGCCACTTTTGGCGACTCGTCAAGAGATTTGTGTGCCTTAGTAATCAGTCAGAATGTTATCACGTATTCAGTAATGTTAAACTTTCTCAATGTTCAGATGACGCCACATAGGGAACCCGATCATTAGGCTCCTACTCAGGCTACGGTAGTCGTTCAGTTCCGCGAATATCACGCCGAAAAGTTCTCAGGACAGGGAGATCCCCGCATCGTAGATGAATGGATTCAGGGGTTGGAATTTATCTTTGAGGTTATGGACTGCCCCGATAGGTATCGCGTAGTTTGCGCTCAGCTTCAGCTCACTGGTGATGCTAGGCTCTGGTGGAATGCCTACTGGAGCATGGGTCCCGGTGAAAAAGCGGGATGTACGTGGGACATGCTCAAGGAGCTAGTCCGCGAAAAGTACTACCCATCCTACTATCGGGCAGAGATGGAGCGTCAGTTCTTAGCGCTTCAGCAGGGCACTCGTACTGTTGATGAGTACGAACGAGAGTTCACTAGACTTGCAGCTTTCGTACCGGATCTGGTTCGCACGGAGGCTCAGAGAGCGCAGCGATTCATCGACGGGCTTTACCCAGCAGTCCATCACAAGATCATGGGACACAGGACTTAGACCTACGCTCGTGCAGTTTCTATCGCCCAGGAGGTGGACGCTAGCATCAGGAGGGAGGCAGTTCGTGATCGTGCTCAGCCATCCGCCCCAGTTCAGCCATTCGCAGCTCCACCAGCTCTACCAGCCCCTCAGCCAGCAAAGGAGAAGAAGAGGAAGGGAAAGGGTGCACAGACTGACCGGAGGACTCGACAGAGACAGCAGCCAATTCCACTGTGCCCGACTTGCGGACGACTTCATCGGGGAGAGTGCCATGTGGGTCAGGATATCTGCTACTACTGCCACGAGCCGGGACATTTTGCGAGTCGCTGTCCGAAGAGACTCCAGCAGCAGCCTCAGCAGCCACCACAGCAGCAGCAGCCACGTCAACAAGCACAGAGTCCGCCTCAGCAGCAGCAGCAGAGGGGCAGACAGCAGGCCTGGGTTTACGCGGTTGATCAGGCAGAGGCAGCACAGCAGCCAGGTACTATGTCAGGGATGGTTGTTCTCAATGATATTCCTGTGTTTGCTTTATTCGGTACTGGAGCAACACATACTTTCATTTCACGACGATGTCTCGATGCCATCGGAGTTCACGCCATTACTGCTGTCGATCCTCTCGAGATGAGTTTAGCCTCGGGACGAAAGATAGTGACCTCAGCTAAAGCCTCAGATCTTAGCCTTTCCATCGGTGGCCGAGTATTGACTGCCGATGCGTTTGTTCTCGAGATGAGGGACTTCGACCTTATTCTCGAGATGAATTGGCTATCCTTCTATCATGCAGACATTAGGTGTCATGACCGGGAGATCACTCTCTATCTTCTGGGAGACGAATCGATCACTTTCTTCGGTTCCAGGAATCGTTCACTGCCTCATGTTGTTTCGATGGCGAAAGCCATTAAGTTATTGCGACGAGGCAATTGCTAGGGTTATCTGGTGAGCCTTGTCGACGATTCTCAGAAATCGCGAACACCTCATGATGTTCCAATTGTTCGCGAGTTTGTGGACGTGTTCCCAGACGAGCTTCACCGCCCAACCGTCAGGTGGAGTTTTCTATCGATCTCATCCCAGGGGCCGGTCCAGTATCCAAAGCCCCGTATTGTATGGCGCCTAAGGAGTTGCAGGAGCTTAAGACTCAGATTCAGGAGCTGTTATGACTCGGTTTCATCCGACCGAGCGTGTCACCTTGGGGAGCACCCGTTCTCTTTGTTAAGAAGAAGGATGGATCCATGCGAATATGTATCGACTACCGAGATCTCAACCGGTTGACGATCAAGAACAAGTACCCGCTTCCCAGGATCGACGATTTATTTGATCAGTTGAGGGGAGCCTGTGTGTTCTCGAAAATTGATTTACGTTCAGGCTACCACCAGCTGAAGATCAAGGAGTCAGATATCGCTAAGACCACTTTCAGGACTCGTTACGGCCATTAAGAGTTCGTCGTCATGCCTTTCGGTCTCAGCAATGCG